GCAAATCTCGAAGGAATATATTATATCGAACTTAATATTATTTTCTTCATTTCTTATTTCTTTTTACATTCCTACATTCCTGCCATTGCTTTGACACTCTGATGGTCGTGCACTTTCGTGTAAAATCGATGACATTCCTTAAATTGAAACTTAATAAAACCATCGCTATTTCAACTACAAAAGACTATATTTCTTAAGTTTTATTATTAAGAAATATTACTATTCTAAAATACATTTATTTCATATAGTTATCAATGATTACACTTTAGAACAAACAAAGACATAGGATATGCCTAAAATTTCTCTGTCCTTTTCAATAAATTATTAACCCTCCGCACTCCAAAGATTTTCACTAGAAATATTTCGACATTTTCTGATGAGATGAAGACGATATTTTGTAAAACCAACTCGACGAGAAATTCACGTGAATTTACGGACAAAGCAACTTTACGTCAATATTTCTCAGATTGATGCATTATACGAAGTATAATATTAAATATCAAACTTTATAGCTTCACTGTAGGAAATCAAGTGGTGACTGAGAGTCACCTCCCGAGTGCAAAGGGTTAAGGAAAAAGGTTTATTCGATTTGGCCAATGAGCAGCTCAATAACTATCGCAGAGCAGTGTACGCGTGTCTATTTACCTGCCTATTCGCTTTAATCCTCTTGTAAGTTTCCCATCTCCCATGAGGTGTTCCGTCAACAGCCGATGGGGTATGGAGCATCGGTCCATGGGGATGATCCGGCGGATGTCCGGGGGGTAAATTCGATCTCGAAGCTCGCGACCGCGAGGACGCCGACGATATTTTGTAAAGCCGGTCGAGTTCTTGAGCAAAGTGTTGCTCCAGTTCCTGCGGCCTCACGGTGACCCCGCAAGCTGGACAGCAGGACGGATCCGACGGGAACTTCTTTTTACCTGCAACACAACGAAGTTGCCGCTTATTATTGCTCGAAGAATCAACTTAAAATTATCTGTTCAGTCGTTTGCAATTTAAATTTCCATGGTAACACCTTGACTGATAGATCATTTACATGTATATGAGTAACACGACTTTTTTCTTCTTCAGACATAAAGATTAATCTTTATTACGATACACCGAACGAACAGAACCTTTGTTGCTGTTTGTGGGACGTAAGGAGGTTGAAAGATTAATTGCCGCGATAAACCTTCATTTCTCACTTTCAGTTTTGTTGAACAGTTGCCTTGATTTTCTGTGGCCTTTAGGCACGTAGAGACGACAATCATCGTGTTGTTTTAAATATTAATTTGTCTTATTTTTCAAGTTCACTATAATTTGTTGCCTTGACATACAATGAATTATAAAAGAGCTAAATATTGCGTAGTATGAAAGAAATTTAATCGAATGTATCGTTTAATTACGATAGATTGATAGTAAATAATTACGTTTGACGTTAAAAAAGTAATCGAGTTATTTTCCAATATGTACATTGTTAATATTATCTTATATAAATCAACTTACATATTTTTGTACGCGAATATCTGTAGTCATTAATATTTTTAATAGAATATTGCTTGAATAAACGTGGTCCATGGTAACCGTCAAGGGTGACATTATTCGTAACGTTTCACAAATAAGAATTAACAAACATTTGTTTCATCGTTAGTCGGTGTACCCATATACTTTTAACGAAAAGTGTATTACGTTAATTGCAAATGAAAGCCACAAAACAGAAGCGATTGTCACGGGTCATGAGGTTTCAAACAGCGCTCGTTTGCCCGGAATTTATTACCCTCATGAAAGCTAAAAGAAAAGGGAGAAGATTTTATTCTTACAACCTGTTAGTAACCTACGTTCACACTGAACTTCTTGTATTTATTTGTGGTATTTACGTAGGAAAATCTTGGTGAATTTTATAATATAATTTTATAAACAATGCATGCAGAAATGTTTTACGTATTACAACGTTTAAAGTAAGATCGAAAACGAAATAATATGTTTCCATTGAAAAGTTACTGCATAAAATGATACCGGTAATTATTAATACCTTTTCATTGATTATTCTTTACACTGAAGCCAATTCATTGATTATAATTAATACATTAATGCAATCTATCAAAGCATTCATTGTCTTTTGGTAATATTTGATTCATAATGTACCTAAAGAATATTTAGTATTCAATTGAAAAATATTAAAGATCCCATTCGTTCTTCTTAAAATATCGGCAATACAATAAATCTCTATGAACTGCTATGGCAATAGAATTTTCCCCTGTTTAATTTCCTCTACACGTTTTTATCATTTTCACTAGTATATTTATTTATAAAATATCACTATATTTGCCAGTAACTGCATGAACATCCTGTATAAAATACAGATATTCAGTATGGAAACATTAAATCATGCTCATTTTAAATGCATTCAAATGTAATAATGATTGCTCCCGGAGATAGGTCGGGCAGATATAAAATGTTATATATGGGGAGTCAAATAATTTTCGACATAGGATTGCAGTATTTTATGAAGTAAGCTTTCCGTTTTCATATCATAAATGTTAATGGAAATGAATATACCAAAACGCACGCTCCTCGGTTGAGTCTTAGTTTCTACATAAATTTAACTTAACACTCCGCGGGAAGTGACGAAAGGATAAAATTAGTATTTTAAGAGTATCGCAACTTATATTTAAGAACTAGATCAATACGTGAATTGTAGAAGGTTAGTAGTTCATATTCCTTCATTTTTTCCTTTTTTCATTTTATTTGATCACGATCGTATTTTTTTCCGTGTGATACGTACGATTAATATCTTCGTTTCGGAAGAAACATTCGCAAAATGAAACTTATAAGAAGATGTTAAGTTCGAGAAATATTTAATTAGCGTTAATGAATATTTGAACGATATTCCATTAAAGAGTGAATCCTATTTCCACGCGTATATTCGTAAACTATCCGATATACTTCTACTGTTCACATTAACTGATACCAATACATCAAAAATTTCAACATCACTGTTTTGTTAATACATTTACTTTTCGTATCGATAACCATAAATGACTCTAATCAACTTTTTCGTCAATAAAACGTATTAATGAGTTTTCTAATACTTTAAAGCTATTATTATTAAAAATACTTATTCATTGTGTAGAATAAAAAATTGCAATTTTAGTTATATGTAACACTGGGCTTTTCTATGTTTCCTCTGCATGCGGGTGTGCTGAAATAAATTGGTGCACGCCATTAATAAAACTTTCGATCTGTAAACGTACAGTTTAAAATTGGGAAAAATTATTACTTATATCACGCTATTTATAGTTTTTATTATTAATGTTATTATTTCAATAATTATTATTACTGATAATAATTAATGTACTATTAATTATTAACTCTAGAAAATAAGATAAACTTATAAATTCTTTGAACAATGTAGATATAAAATTTTCAATGTGTGTAGAAAATTAACCAAGGCATAGGAAAACATAAAAATGTCGAAAAACAGATTGCAATTTTTATCTTTAGACAAAGGTTCTAATTCTGACATATCTATTTTCTGAACTTTTTAAGTAACATTGCAGAATTTACTCTTTTCATCAAAAGATATTGTTCGCTTTTATGAAATGCAGTTTCAATTGTGAATGCGTCATTGCCGAATCGGAATTCCGAGCGGGATCCTGTTACCATTTACTTCATTTCTTCGTCTTCAAATTCACCGTTTGGTGTCATCTAACTACGTATCAGTTCATTCACCGTCAAATGCTAACAGAAGATATGGAATACTTTCGTTCCGCTTCAATAAAGACTCGGTATTCGAATTTCTTTCAGAAGTATGGCGTCTAAAATCTAAAGTTTTATACCATCATGCGGAACACCATAAAATCAATTAACATGTACGACACCGAAATCTATGAGTCACAATTTTAAACAAAAACTGAAATGCTCCTATCCTAGTAACATACGAATTTTATCGCTTTACATTCTTACTATAACTTTCGATATACGTATAAACTCTTAGAGAACTAAAATGAATATCTATAAAATCGATAAATATTACGTATTTTAGCTGAAAATCGTTTATTTCGTTTCATTTGATACTTTCTTTATTGGTTATGTAATAATCCTTCAATAATCAACAAAAGTAATTGTGATAATGAACGAACAATGCAGCTTAAGCTCATCAGCTTAATCTTATCATTAATGAAATATAATTAAGCTCCATTTCGTTATATCGTAACCACTGAAGGCCCTATTAACACTTTGATGGCTACGCATTCACTGTAAGTTCCTTTATGAACCGCCGCGTAATCTCACTGTTTGTTATTGATGTTTCTCGCACAATCGTTCGTAGAATAATTATATTTATTAAAAGAACCATCAAATTCATCGCTTGGGCTGCGTAATGCGATTAAAGTTATATTATGCAGCTACAATTATATTTAAAGTGAACATCATAACTGACTGAAATAGATATTGTACAAATTATTGATTCAAGTTCTGTGTTGGAAATCATTCGCCACTTCACACTCGTTTTTAGAATTTCGTATTGAAAGTTGCTTGGATATAAATACCACAAAATGAGGAATCAGATCTAAGTCAACAAAATTAAAGTTAATATACCTCCTAGATTTTTCGACATATATAGGTTAATACACTTTTATACAGGACATACAACTGCGTTGATTATTACATAAAAAAGCACATGATTCCATTTTTAAAAATGAAAGTGACCTCTAGGTTATCTTATTGTTAGATTTCAAAATCCTCACAACTCTACCAGTGACAACAAAATTACTTCTGCCACGTATATAGCTTAAACTATATTGAACAACTATTTGGGTTGAAAACGCTTATATCAGTTTCGGTTCTTGAAACAGTTACGAAGAATCAAATGAAAGTCGTAACAGTGATTTTTAGAATCTTTTCAATTCCTGATTTTCTAGGTATAAGACAGAAAAAGTATACCCTTTTACAAACTTGTCGCAGATTATTATTAGAAGAACATAAGCGAGCAAGAGTTATTTTGTCCAGGTATGAAAATCCGACCCCTAATAATTCCCACGCTCGGATAACACTACAATCTCAGCTGAAATACCAGGTGCTTTTACTGTGACTCAACACCTATATTATTTATTTTAAAAAGTAAATTAATTCAATTAACGTTTTACAACTTCTATATTTGCGTATACAATCTGACACACTACTTTGTATACTGCATGAATTTTCTATGATAAGGGAGAAAGAATACACCCTTTCATAAACTTGTCACAGATTCTTAATAGGAGAACATAAGCGAACAAGAGTTCTTATGTCCAGGTATATGAAAATTCGGTCCTTAATAATTCCTACGGTCTGATTAGTGTGATCCTTTTGGTGTGATCCAACACCCATAGTGTTTCTCGTAAAAAGTAAATTATTTCAATTTATTATTTTACAACTGGTATATTTCCTTAGATAATCCGATGCAATACTGTATGAATTTTCTATGTCTAAGGGATGAAGAATACACCCTTTTCCATCCTTGTCACAGATTCTTACTGGAAGAACATAACAGTGCAAGAGTTCTTTTTCCAGGTACACGAAAACTCTCAGGCTTCAATGTCCCTTTACAATCGGATAGAATACTAGGTATATAACTGTACTGTGACTCAACACCTGTATTCTCTACTCGAAAAAATAAATTACTTCACACACGTAAATACACGCGTGATAGAAATATACGTGAGCACGTACACCCGACCCTCGGTTTACGCAGACTTCTTTTACGCTAGTCTCCTTTTACACGGTAAATTACAGCACGATCTTAATTTACGCGATATGAATTTATTAACACCGAATAAAATATACTTTTGTTCTCTGAAATGTCGTTATTTTCCTTTCTTTTCTTTGACTATGTGAAATAAATATGTATTTCCAAATCATATAAGGTGGAGTGGGGTAAGTGCACCCCAGTTTTTAGTAA